AGAGAAATAAGACAGAAAAACGAGGGGTGGGGGGGGGGGGGGGGGGGGGGGGGTCTAGGTAATTCTACAGGAAAATGAAGGTGACACTTATCCAAACAAACTGCCTATATAATCAGCGTGTGCTGGAAAGCACTATAACCGAGTGTGCTGCAAAAATCGCCGTCCGTCCGAGTACATAGGCCTACACCCACGTTATTCTATAAATATTCCAACCCCCGCACGATCCAGTCTCAAGCAACACGCATGGAGCTGTGCGGCTCTATAACTCTTTTGGGTGGAAAAAAAAGTCGCAGTATTCCACGAAGAAGAGCACTTTAGAGAAGTCGTCTTTTTATTGTGGTTATTGGTTAGTGTGGTCAGTTAAAGTATCTGTGCACATTAGTGCTCGGCGAATCAGATACTGCGCCAGTGTTGGCACATAAATGCTCTCGCGCATTGCGTGGACAAGCACTTGTGGCCACGCGCGGTCTGCATTGCGTCGAACCCCTCCCCCATACTGTCCTACCCCCCTCTCCAGCTCCGCGTTCTCCCATGTGCAATACAGTGCAACAATATGTTGGGCATGATTAAGGAATTATTCCCTCTCCTCCTATTGATCCCACCTTTAAGAAGCCTTTCGCATCCATACCCCCCGTCAGTGTGTCCAGATAAAACAGACCGCTCGTCATCTTGTCTACTCGTAAGAGGGAAATTTTGCTGATGCAGTAATGTCTGGAAATGGTATGGTTCGCTTTTGCCCCCTTAATGTATCTCCCGCCTGAGCTGAGCTGCAGCATTACAATTTCTTATGCAGTATAAGCCATTTACACCAAGGTGCCGCCGCACGAGCAGGAGTGCAGGGAGGACGTTGCGGTTTCATGTTTTCTTTTAGCCTTTTTTCCGCGTCTTGTCTTTTAGCACACGTTTATATTGAATGTGAAGATTTGTAATACATCTCAAAGCCATATGTATATATTTTTTTCCATTATAGCATCGCTTGCGAATGTCGTGAATCATTTCCGTTATGGATGTGACATTTATGGACCGCAACCGAACAGTTTGAATGTGAGAAGATGTGAAGAGACTTTTACAAGCGTATTTTCTCCAACAAAAGGGAATCGAGGGTGCATTACTGACAGGAGACTGCCGGCAGAAGACGCAATCCTGCAGTAGCGAGGTGAGCACTAAAACAGTATGAATAAGCCTGAAGTGAAAGTCATTCTCATGTTTTCCTATCTATTTACTAACTCAAACGTAGCTATAAGCAATTCAATAATATATAGTGAGACTGTATGTATGTGGTGATGGAGTAAAAGTGACCCTGTCCTGTCACGTCTTTTCAATAGAGTGAGCATTATCATTTAGAATTGCGCCCTTAAGGCAATGCACTTCTCTGATTTATACATACATGTAGTGTGAACTTGCTGAGCTAGCAAATATCGGCGCTGTTCGATCCATTTTTCTCTGTCTCGGTGACAGAGGCAGCCGTAGTGGATGCAGCGGAACGGAGCGATGGTCGAATCAGTGACAACCACAGTGGGGCCACACTGAGGAAAGATCCAGTTATACGCTATACCCCGGGTTCGAGATAGATTTGAGGGTCTGGAATTGTAAAAAAGGAAGGAAAGCGACGCCTTTGGGAGGGCAGTTGGATGTCTACTCAATTAAATTAACTGCTGCGGAGCTCCAACTTTGAACTGCAGGATGACAGTCGTGGCTGGGGACAACATGGACGAGACCTCTGCCGTGCCGGGGCATCCGCAGGACACGTACCCCCCTGACCACGATGATCACGAATACTGTGAACGGGTGGTCATCAACATAGCAGGGCTGCGCTTCGAGACCCAGCTCAAAACTCTCGCCCAGTTTCCAGAGACTCTATTAGGTAACCCAAAGAAGCGAATGCGGTATTTCGATCCCTTGAGAAACGAGTACTTCTTCGACAGAAATCGTCCGAGCTTCGATGCCATCCTCTACTACTATCAGTCTGGGGGGAGACTGAGAAGGCCTGCAAACGTCCCGTTGGATATGTTCTCAGAAGAAATTAAGTTCTATGAACTTGGGGTCGAGGCGATGGAGAAGTTTCGCGAAGATGAGGGCTTCATTCGCGAGGAAGAGCGGCCCTTACCGGAGCGTGAGTTTCAACGGCAAATCTGGCTTCTGTTCGAGCATCCCGAAAGCTCGGGGGCAGCCAGAGGAATAGCTATTGTGTCCGTTATGGTCATTTTAATTTCCATTGTCATTTTCTGTTTGGAGACTTTACCTGAACTGAAAGGGGAACCTCAGGAGGTGATTATAGGCAACAGCACCTTCTACACCAAACCAAACATCCTGACCGATCCCTTCTTTATCGTAGAGACCCTCTGCATCATCTGGTTCTCATTCGAACTGATAGTGCGCTTCTTTGCATGCCCAAGCAAAGCGGCCTTCTTTAAGAACATGATGAATACCATAGACATTGTGGCCATCATTCCCTACTTCATCACACTGGGTACAGAGTTAGCAGAGGACGCGGATGGAGAGAAGGAAGTAAAGGGCGAGCAGGCAACATCACTGGCCATCCTCAGGGTGATCCGTCTGGTCAGGGTGTTCAGGATCTTTAAGCTGTCCAGGCACTCCAAAGGCCTTCAGATTTTGGGACAGACCCTCAAAGCCAGTATGCGAGAGCTTGGATTGCTAATTTTCTTCCTCTTCATTGGTGTCATATTGTTCTCCAGTGCTGTGTATTTCGCAGAGGCAGAGGAAAAAGCGTCCTACTTTACCAGCATCCCAGATGCATTCTGGTGGGCGGTTGTGTCGATGACCACCGTAGGCTACGGGGACATGGTGCCAGTGACTATAGGGGGCAAGATCGTGGGTTCCCTGTGCGCCATTGCCGGTGTGCTGACCATCGCCCTCCCCGTGCCTGTCATCGTGTCCAACTTCAACTATTTCTACCATAGAGAAACCGAAGGAGAGGAGCAGGCCCAACTCCTCAACGTGAGCAACCCGAACATTGCCTCTGATTCCAACTCCAGTCGCCGCAGCTCCTCGACCGTCAGCAAGTCTGAGTACATGGAGATAGACGGAGACATAAACAACAGCATCGACAACTTCAGAGAGGCCAACCTCAGAACTGGCAACTGCACTATCCCTAATCAGAACTGTGTGAACAAAAGTAAGCTGCTAACCGATGTCTAGAGACACAGTAGAAAATTCAGTCACGTACATATGAATGCTTACTTTACCTCCTCTCGTGAGCCCTTGCAATGCGAATATCTCTACAATGCAGACGAAAGAAAAATACTACACCAAAACATATAGAACATAACTGCAGCAAATGAGGCCGATGATTCGGTATATACTTAGTCTAATACATTTCCAAAGAGGATGATTGAGAAAAAAGCCTCCTTGAGCACCTAGCTAACGTCCACAGGCATTGAAGGACTCTCGACGACGGGATTACTAAAACATCACGCATGAACTGCAGACTACATTTCAGCAAGCTGCACACTGCATCCGGGAACGTGCATAAAAGACCAAGTGCAGTGTTCGGTGGACGCCTCGTCCATAGGTGGTCTTCCCAACTGACCAGCAAAGCACCTTATATGAACAAGACTTATCTTCTGCTGGGATGCTACGGAGGCCAAGGTCATCACCTCATGGACATCCGCATTGCTGCTATTTTCCAGCAGATGCTGTAATTTAGATATCACCAAGTGATTAAATGCCATGCCCTTTAGATATAAGACAGCACAATGCCGAAAGAGGAGCCTCATAGTTAGCATGTTTTGATTATCCTCATTTTGATATTGGCATGCGTCGGACATTACCTCATGACGATAGGAAATCCATTCCTGTTTTGCTTTTCTTTTGCATTCGGTTCCATCAGCTCCCCTCTCCATCGACCTCCTCTCATTTGTCGACATGAAAAGTGCACTAGTGTGTCATGATTTGAGATGCTTAACATTTAGGTGTATTTAAAGACTGAATGTTTAACCTTACGGGAAACAGAATCTTAATGATATCATAGCATGTCAAAAGAACCTGCATTATGGCCTAATCAACTATGGTACTGTGTATCCTAGTATATTTAATGCATGACATCGGTATAATACAGCTTGTTGCAATTGAGATACCTCATAAGGGTGTCGTTGTTACAATCAGGGAAACTAGGGACGTCGATTCCTTGACATTTTCTGAAATGTGACAAAATATATATGCAAGCCCCAACGCTGGGATGCAAACTTTTCAATCTAAAACGTAGTCAAAGACACAGAAAAAGAACTATCAAGATACTATCAAATGCATATACTCATACTAAGCGCACCTGTTAAAAAAAATAGTATAACTTAAATAGTGCAGTGCATGGGCATTCTCTCTCTCGAGGGAAAAAAATAAGATAACTATGGGCAGTTATACTTCACGCTTCCATTTTGCGATCAAATTTAGGATTTACGATATCAAAAATCGCTTAATTTATCTTAGCAGGATGCAAAAGAGATCATGGCAGAATTACTCATATTAGTTGCTAGTGCCTTTGACCCTCTCAGCAACCGGACAGGTGAAAGTGCCTCTGAGTAACTGGAGTTTTAGGCAGGGCAAGGGAACAATATCTGCTCTAGAACTGTCATAATGTATGTTGAGGCTGGTCATTACAGTGTATACAGAGTGCTTTTCATTTTTGTTGTTGTTCTTTTGAACGTGACACATGGTTGTCAGGCACAAACGCAAACCTGTGTTATCATATGACGGCTGAGCTTGAATATGAAATCGGACATACGACTTTCACGCGACAGGACCTTTTAGAGTTTTCGATCTGCCTTTCGTTGTGGTTTTGATTATGTTGTTGTGCCATAATAAAGAGTCTACCTCAGTGAGGTCGCCGCACAGCTCACTGCAGAGCAGAACACGAGAGTACATAACAGCCTGTGAAGTGTGATGCTACATCAAAAATAATACACTTAAGAGTACCCCAGAATTAGCCTTTTTTCAAGCACTTAAAACAAACGCAACAATGCGACCGCCCCTGACCCCTCGGATCTGAAACGCTCCCTTGCTAAGCACAATCAACGTTCACTTTGGTTCTGTTTATTCACAGTCCTTTTTTAAAAGAGAGGTCTGGGAAGAGAAAACAGCACAGGCTTTCATATACCACAGGGTACACAACCGTTTACATCCTTAAAAATCTGTCATTTTGAAGAATGCTTAGCCCATTAAGGCTATATTAAGCCTGCAGGTACTGTAAAGAACAAATTTAAATGCAGACCTAATTGATTTATTGAGTGTACTGATGACTTAAACAATGTGAAATCTTGTGTTCATGCTAACATGGGCCATTCCAGTGCATAGAGCTACATCTTTAATTTCCATTGTCCTTGATAATTAAAAAACACTTTAAAATAGCCGCGATTGAGTTAGTGTGTTTGGGGTAATTTCATTTAACTAACACAAGCAAGTCTGCCAGAGCAGCTCGTAAACAAGTTGCCTGATCATGTGATCTTTATCGATCCGTGAGGTGTGATTGTAATCAAAGGCAAACAGCAGTATTTTACCTCGGGCCGTTTCCTATAACACTAACATGTGTTTAGTCACCTCTGCCGCAGCTCTGTGTCAGGAAGAACTATTCAGGGTTTTATCAATCTGCTTTTTGTTTATAATTCATAACATTGCTTCAGAGAAGAAAAAATGAGCTTAGCAAGCAAAACAAATACATTTGATCTGGAATTAAAGAATTAACACATGAAAAAATCATACAACTTAATTTAATATGGAACAATTGTTAAATAAGTACAAACTGTTTCTACCGGGCGTGCAAGCAGTGATCAAACCCTATGGTGCTATGCATAATCCTATATTTAATAACGACACCATAAATCATAGCAATAGGGATCAAGTGTGTTACAGGACTGTCCAGAATGCTTATTTTAATATTCACCAAGGGCTGTGGCAAACTTTTGATAAGAATAGAGATTTAAACCTACTATAATGCAAGAGAGAAATGATTTCCACCAATGATAGTGTGTTAGTTGACAAAATGTATATTTCATGTACTTTATGTTGAGAGACTGTAACAGAACAAAAATGTCCCCTTAACAAATGTTGCTTCCTTTCCCTGTTGAAGTTTATTTTGCCTCTGATCTGAGGTGAGGATCAGTTATGGCTTAGAGGTAGGCCTTTTATCAGCTGAGTCTGTAGAGGTGTAAGTCCATAACATAACACATACTTATTTTGGTTGTTTTTCTATTTATATATTTGCATCGCAAACTTTATTTCAAGAAAGGATGAAAGATCAAATGCACTGTAGTGGAAAAATAAAAAAGAACTGACTGACGTGCCATCATAACGATTACTAAGTAACCCGATATGAACGCTGTCAAAAAATGAGAAAACGTAGTTGTGCTCCCAGGTTGTGGCCTTTTGGAGGATGTTGCAGACATGTTTATTTTCTTCACCTGCGTTGCCTCGTCTAGCTATATTACCATGTTGCATCCATGTGGCACTATAGTTAACTGTGCTTTAAAAAACCCATGCCCTTGATAAAACTACAGTAGACTCACAAACGAGTCCACAAGACAAGCCATTACAGATATATAGGAAGATTATACCTTGTATTATCGATATCATGAAATAAATAAAATAAATGACATTAGCATCGAAAATGTACTGTACATTGTACTTTTTTGTAATAACCTTAACTCCATACCAAACCTAAACTCAACAGCAACCTAGCAATTGCAAAAATCTGCATGGTGTATGGAAGACTGCATGAGCTTAGCCTTTCAAAACTGAGGATCAACTATATTCTGGTTGCATCATTTTTTAAGCCCTTGCTGTCATTTGTTCCTAAAGCCATCTTCATTATTTATACGCCAACGTTGTTCCCTTTTGTTTGGGAAAAATTCTTTAATCCGTCAAACTCCACTGATCAGATATTTGTATTCGGTTTATTTATTCATTTTGGCTTCATTTGAGATTTTGCTGTTTGCTTTCAGGATGCTGAATGATACAAGTCATGGATTATAATGTCATGGAAGTTAATCATTTAATTCCGCCAAAATAAGAAAGAAAGCAGGAGACCCAAACTACAAACAAAGACCCAAACAAAGTCCATACAGTGATTCCGTACTGACCATCTCAGCTACAGGTTTATGTTAGACAGATGATGACTCCATGTTAATGTTTGTTCCATATACATCTGGTCAAACTGTTCATGTTGTTCATGTTTTCTGTCTTCGTTATGCTAAATTGTGTTACTGTGTTTTAATTTTGTCATACATTTGACAAAGGCATGGTCTGTGATCTATGCAAGGGTTCTTTTGTTTCTTATGTTAAATATGATTTGATCATACATCCAAATCAATAAATTTTTAAGTATCAGCTGTCGGTGTATGGTACTGATTTTTAAAGACTGTGGCTGTCGTACATTTTCAAAGGGTTTAGGTTTGAATACTTGTGAATACTCTACACTCTCGGTAAAACAGTGCAAAACTGTCACTGGGGCAAAAAACCCTTTTAAAACATACTAATATGTACTTTTAAAGTACTAAATATGTACCAAATGTGAACCTGGAGCACAAAACCAGTCATAAGTAGCTCGGGTATATTTGTAGCAATAGCCAACAATACATTGTATGGGTCAAAATAATCGATTTTTCTTTTATGCCAAAAGTCATTAGGATATTAAGTAAAGATCATGTTCCATGAAGATATTTTGTAAATTTATGTTGCATCACAGCCAAATATTGTCCTGTCCTTAGAAACCATGCATCAGTGGAAAGCTTATTTATTCAGCTTTGATGTATAAATCTAAAAAAAAAAAAAAAAGACCCTTATGACTGGTTTTGTGGTCTAAGGTCACATATGGGGTAAAATACTGCGGTAACACTTTATTTTAAGGTGTCCTTGTTACACATTACATGCACTTACTATTATAATAACAATAAATTATGCATAATTGCATGCAAGTAACCCTAAGCCAAACCCTTATTCTATCTCTACCATGTACATGTAGTTACTTAATATTACTCAGTACTTAAACGTATAATTACATTGTAACAAGAACACTTTAACATAAAGTGTAACCAATACCACCTCAGTGACAACTTTGTACCGTTTTTCTGAACGTACATTTGTTGTCCCATTACTTTATTTACAAGCATTAGACAAACAAATCCCTTTTTTTAACTGAGACATGGTACATAAACAATTATTGTACATAAAATAACGCATGAACAGTAGCTAGTTTAAAACATAAAATGTATTAATCTGTATTAACCCATAAAATTGTGATTTAAAAAAAATATCTATTACAATTAGATATCATAATTATCATAATTTAAAATTTGTAATAATCTGTTGAAATTATATTCCATGCTTAGAAGTAAAAACTGTTTAAATTGCATACTTTATTATTTAACTAATTTTAATGAGCTAAATGTAATGTTTATCTGTTCTAAATGTTATGACCAACCCTGTTGTCTGCATTAATGTTACATTAGAAAACTGTGATTGAAGTGCACATCATTTAAATTCTTTTTACAGCATGACAGGAAGACGTGAAGTACATATTTTTATTTCTTGTTCTTTTTTCAAATTTTTATATTAGAAATATTTTATATATATAGATGTTATTTCTATAATTATGAAATTACACAAATAAGAGTTTAAGATGTATTAGACATTTCGGCAACAGGGTTGACAATTTTTTCACCCCACTGAAAACATTTGGTGTACAGTTTTCGGTCAGTAAATTTCCTAATTAGTGGCAAACAAACAGCATTTAACACTTGAATTAAAAAATTAAGTTAATAAAATAGTATTTCCTTGTAAAACATACTCTAGTAAGCTTGAAAACTTTACAACTTTGAAAATTATTTTTTGCAGTGTCTAATTGTTAAAAAAATGCCCTAATATAGGATTTCAGGCCCCGTTTTGAACAGGGTTTGTTGAACGTGACAATAATGTTGGAGGACTCTGAATATCCTGCAGTGCAGAACTGAACACTGGACACTTTGTCTTTCATTCAAACTTATCAAAAACCTCCTGTAGCAAGGTGACAAAAAATTATTTAATTAAGAAGTAACAAGGATGGTCTATGGGGCTTTCAGTGTGGTTATGTGTATTGTAACAAAAAGACCCGAGTTATCCAGCACACACTGAACAAACATGACAACAAAAGGATCTGAACGGGCAGTTTACATCGTCAACAAGATGTCTATCTCCTGCTTTCAATCCACCTACCGTCCGCTTTCCTTTATATACACGCACATCAGGCACATTTGGTTTCCCTTGAGAGCTCAAAACATGATATTGGAGTGCCTTGTGCTTGGAGTACCCTTGCTCTCTCCTCCTCTGCATTGCCCTCTGGAGCTGCAGCAGTCCTCTGCAGGCTGGAGCTGGGGTGGGGTGAGCTGGCGTCGGGCCCAGTGCAGCTCCTCAGGCACAGACACACACAAGCACTGAGCTCTGGGTCCCTGTGTCTCTGTCCTGTCCTGTCCTGGACTGGCCGGCTACATGTGTCCTACTGCTGAGGATGAGAGTCATAAAACAGTTTTATCGTGTGATGTTAAAATCGTTCACATGGATCCTTCAGCTTTGCCGTGATGCAGCTGAAAACTCTGCCTCGCAATTAAAAGCAGCTTCAGTCGGCGTAATCTCTGCCGTCTGCTGCACTGATTGGGGATTTCTCAGTCACTAAAACAGAGCGCCCTAATGGAGGCCCCAAGTTATGTGTTATCTGAGGTCAGATAAAGTTATTTATTATTATTGTCCTTGGATCATTTAGAGAATTAATACTTTGGGGCAATTTCCCAGCAGGGCATTCAAAGACCGATTTTTTTTATTAGAACGTATATATATATATATATATACAGTGGGTACGGCACACACACACACACTCCCATTCAAATGTTTGGGATCAGTAAGAATTTTTTATGTTTTTTAAAGAAGTTTCTTATGCTCATCAAGGCTACGTTTATTTGATCAAAAATTTAATATTGTGAAATATTATTACGATATAAAATAACATATTTCTATTTTAATACATTCTATTAAAATCTAATTGATTCCTGTGATTAAAGCTGAATTTTCAGCATCATTACTCCAGTCTTCAGTGTCACGTGATCTTTTAGAAGTCATTCTAATATGCAGATTTATTATCAGTGCTAGGAACCGTTGTGCTGCTTAATTTTTTTTTTGAGCCTGTGAT